GAGCTTCTGGGCTATCCTTTACAAAATGAAAGAGCATAAAAGCTGCCACAATTCAAAGCATTTGGGGCACTAAATGACACCTATCCCAGATGTCATTTGGTTGAGTTAAACCTTGGATTAACCAGTCCAGGGCAAGTCTTTGGACTGTGGGAAAAACAACCGGAACAGAACTTCTGACCATACTTAGAAGGATGCCAAAAAGGAAGTGAGAGCTTATGTTCGCAATTGTTTTGCATACTGACAGGAACCTTGGTGTGTTTCATTACTTGGGGTTGTTAATCAAAAACGTATCTTTTTCTGTTAGTCTTTACAGCCATCCTTCTAACAAGACCAGTTCAAGCAGTGGAACTGATTTTATCTCTTATGACTTGACATTGTAGTTCCCAGAAAAAGCTCTGAACCCTTTGGAATTAGGAGAATTTCTGTGTTCACTACACACAAAAACGTGGTCTGATATTGGTCCATCTTAAAGGTAAACTAATAATGAACAAACAGTTGTACTTTTCATGTCTTTATTGAACATAATGAGCAATCAAGCACAGTGAAGACCGAAAATACTCTGCTACAAACTGTTGAGCTTCAGTAACTTATAGAAACTTCTTTTCTCCGTCACATGGTGCTCGAAGTGGTTTAAAAGACTTAAGACAACAGTGAATACATTTTGTTCTATTTCTCCTAAAAAAAAAAAGCTGTTTAAATGTTCCCACATGGAATTGTTCCCTCAATGGCTGCAATGCCCTAAGGGAGCAAAGCAGCCCAAAACTACAACGGTGCCTCCACCATGTCTCACATCTGGGAGACATGGTGGAGGCTTTGTTGTGTACTGTAGTGCCTTTTAAAATAAAAAAAAATAGCACTGTGTATCTTTGACAGAATATGCTCACATAAGACATTTTGTCTTATTGTGAATTGATGAACATCCAGCTTTTCAGACACACTTCTGTAGCCTCTTCACAACATTTCTTCTAAAGTTCTGTGAAAGTTTCTACAATTGAGGCATGATTCACAATGCAATCCTTCTTGAAAAAAGTAGTGAACCATGAACAAGACTTTGCATGCCTCAAACAACCCACGCATCTCATCTTCTTGAAGAAGTTTTTGAATAAGTCACATTTTACAAACTGGCAATGTGAGTGATTATGCAGTGTTTTCAATAAAGACAAGTCTAACTGTTTGTATTATGTATTCAGATATGTTGATGTGTAAAAAATGTGCTTTTTTTCCCAATACAGAAAACTTACAGCCCTTATGGATCAAGATTACAAACAAACACAAGGTGAGAATATACGGATTAATTAAGCAAAAAGACTGACGTTGCGTTTTTTACTGAAATGACGCTAAAGCATGCTTCTGTGGTCATATTAAAGCACAGACCTGCAGGACATGGAAATTGAGGGACAGTAATGTGAGTATCCTACTGGCCTATAAAGCATTGCTAACAGTTAAGCATCTGGAGCTGTTTAAATGCGTTAAACAAATGCATTATGTGCAGCAGTATAACTGCACATATGTCTTTACGTTTTTATGTATTTTCAGTATTGTTTTCTCTCTCCAGGCAGTTACTGCAGCAGCAGACAGAGCACTTGTGAACCTGAGTTTTTGTGTCAGTATATGTGTAATGTATCATGCACACCTTTTGGATAAGAAGCTTTGCTTGATCTGAGACCAAAGATGGAACTTATTGTTAATAATGTGGTATGTATATTATGTTTATGCATTTTCTATTGCAGATAACTTTTTAAGTTCACAAAAAAAGTGTTTTTTAAAGCAGTTATGTATGTTGAATTATGTGTTTCTATTTGCTACAAGTTAACATCATGTTTTTAATGTTATTTGCCAAACATTTCCAAGCGTTATTTATTATCGTCACTTTATTCAATCACTGCATTGGTAATAAAAGTTAACCATCAATAACCAGCTGAAACTTTATTTAGCTAACCTGCTGTCCAGTTCATAACTGAACACAGTACATTCACATCTAAAGAGCGGGTCATGTTCTCATTAAAGGATTTATAGCCACTTCATAGTGTCCACTGTTGTACATTTTGTGCTGGAATTTTGTTTTCTCTTGCAAAAACTTGCAAAGTTTATCAATCTAAAAAGTCTTTACATAGTTGCTCTTTTGTTAAGAGAATTGGATTTTTTATGTGATTGTTTTTTTTTAAGTATTTCAAAACTGTACAAACAGTTTCAATATGACTTCTGTACAATTATGTGTTGTTGGTTACGAGAATAGTTAGGAAATGATTACAATAGATGCATATCACTGCTGCAGCTTCAAAGGAAATGTGTTTTATTACATATGGAGGTGACAGATTTTAGTGGGAATAATAACACAATTTATTCATATGCACACATTACAATCATTAGTGCATGGCAATGACAAATAACTGGTTATAATACTGAGAAAATAGAAAGGCTTTGTGCACATGCATTTCTCTAATGCTGTCAGTTGCTTGTATTCACTTGTATTGTTTTCAGAAGAACTGGACAATTCCCCAAAAAGTGAAACATTTGCATGTGGCTTTGAGAGGACCAAATCAGTAAATCATGTCGAAGGATGTGCATGTGCATGTGTGCTGGCCTCTGTTTTGTTTTCAATTAATTTTTGAAGAAAACAGAGAGGGAAAACACAGCTCTTCGACCCATCGTCTGCAGTACTAACTGCAACCTGCAATACAGCATAATCTATAACACACTTAATTTCACATGCTACCGCTTATCAGAGTGCAAACCACCGTTGCATGGCAGTGATCCATTCTATATCCCAAGACACTGCACCATTACAAAACAAGTAAAGCATTTCTCTAATTCAATTTAGTGCCTTACTGCAAGGGATTAAAGGCAGCTGTTATAGATGAAAAGGCAAGTTGTCTTCAACAATAAATATGTGGGAACTGCTTAAGATCAGTTAGAAGAAGTGGAGATACCTTTTGACACTCCTCTTTCTCAGCCCATCTGCTTCTTACCTTCAAATTAGAGGAAACCAAATTAACTTGTTGTCAAAAACTCTGACGAGTTACATGGCCCAATAGGGTCTTGAAAAGTCGCTGTGTGAACTGAAGTAAACAATTAGATAACAGTGAGACATTCACGGCTCATTTGAAGTAGAATACATATTTAATTAGAGATACACTTAACCAGACAATTTCACATGTTAAATGTGAACAGGGAGAAAATCTAAATTGTCCTATGGACTGAATAACCAGAAGACAAAGTGTAAATGCTTTACTCAGTGTCCATCACTGATTATAGTTTTAAAATGTTCACAAAAACATATTGATGATAATTACTGCTGCTTGGCCTGCTGTTTTTTCCACCAGGTGCCACATGATGGAGGCAAAAATCCAATGGCTGGCAGTTTCATATTATATATTATATTATATTATATTATATTCCTATTATGCCTGAGCACTATTATTACTAACCATTTTACCAAACAACTGGAACCAATTAATTAGTTAAGCGGATGCAACTCGTTAGACCAGATCTCTTCACTCTTTGTCATCCACATGTCTGCCACCCGGATATGTGATTGTATAACTATGGTATTTCCTTTTGGATAAGTTTTATAATTTCAGTAATGCTAACAGCTTTCATAACAGGTTAAACAAACATTATGCAATCATGTTTTAATGGAGAGGAGAGTGAGTAATATAAGGAAAATATAATGAAGCATAATAGCATGGCATGTGTTGCAGATAAAGACATTTCGGAAACCTCTACACATCAATGAAAGCAACATGCCGCAAACAGTAGGCGGCTTCAGCAGGAATGTCTTTGGCACTGATCTCATTAGCTTCGAGACGGAGCATCTTCAGCCTGGAGAAGTTTGACATGTCAACAGCACTGCAGAAACTGCTCAGGGAGAACTCTGAAAGAGGAAAGGGGCGAGAAAATAGGTTACTCTCGTCTTTTGAGATGTGAAGCAAAAACCGATGTCTTGATAATGTCTGTTCACCACAAGTGTTACCAAACCAAGCTCATTGCTACATATACCTATGCATATTAGTCCGTGCAAACTCCAAAATGTATGACTGTGTCAGAAGGGGCAGATCTTCTCTAAATTTTTCTTTAAATGGAGTCAGTAAATAGTTATTTTCTGGAGTTTGTCAAAAAAAACCAAAACGCATTGTTTTCTGTTGAGAGCTCTGGTGTGAAGATATCTGGTGTTTTGTAAAGTTTCTACCATGACTGAGAGAGAGTTTGTGGAAAATCCCTGCTTCAAGGGAATAATTTAAATAACTGGTAAACAGTTTGAAAATCTTGCTTTTGCTGTCATCTGGTGGTTGAAATATTCACTTTGCTGCATGTGCAGCTCCGATCCGAACATTACATGCAGACATTAAATCATTCTTATTTAAACATTGGAAAAAATTTTTTAGGAAGTTGATATGCCAAATAAACATATTTGTGGATATATACATACAAGCTGGATGACCGTTTGAATGAAGTCGAGTAATATAGCTATGAAGCATACAGGATAACAAGCATGACTCTTTATCAACCAAGCAATGGGAGAGGATTACACCACTGGAGGCATCCTGGAGCATAACAAATTGACTAACAAACCATATTTGGACAAAGCACAGCCCTTTTAAACATTACATCTAAAGTCTTCAAGATTTCTGTATTATCACTCGCTTTATATGCATGAGTGGCATTGTGTGTGTCTTGCTGAGTAAAACTACTAAACTACTGGAGAGCTCTGAGTCCTACATAAAGACAGCCTGCAACATTCAGGAAATTAGTTCTGCACTTAGGGTGTATGTAATCACATTACTCTTCTTTGCTTATTTTTAACCTTTTTGTCTTTCTGTGCCCATAAAATATTTCAAGGCATTATCTAATTTAAAGTAATAGAAGTCCTCATACCTTTAATCGTATTGCCTTGCAAGTAAAGGTTCTCCAGGTTCATACTGACAACAGGGATCTTTTCCAGTTTATTGAAGGACAGGTCAAGCTCGACCAACGTGCTGATATTGAAGACATTGGAAGGAAGTCCTTTATTAGTCAGCTTGTTATGAGCTAAGCGGACAAACTGCAGTTTGGGATACATGGTGAGAAAATCTGCTGGAATGCTTTCTATATTATTAAATTCCAGGTACAGCTGCTGCACCCTCACAGGGAGGTTGTCAGGGATTTTCCTTAGCTTGTTTTTCCTGATATCCAGCATTGTCAGAGACTTGAACCCCTTGAACACACCTCCAACGTCTTCTATGGCATTTGCTTGGAGATGAAGGGTGGTGAGGTTTGCCATCCCCTTGAATGAGCTGGCAAGGACTTTTGATATCTTGTTGTGCCCAAGTCGCAGGTCTGTGATTGAAGTGGGCAAGTTAGGAGGCACGTGTGTTAGGTCATTGTGATCCAAGAGGAGCCGATCCAAGTTCTTGAGCTTGCTGAAGACGTTCTTGCCAATTTTGTCTGAGCTGAGCTTGTTGTGAAATAGCACAATCCAGACCAAGTCAGTAGCGTTGTCAAACACCCCATCCTGGATGCCTGTGATCTGGTTATGCTGCAGGTAGACATATTTTATATGCGAGGGGACATAGGGAACATGCTGAAGGTTGCGGCTATGACAGTACATGGCTGTGGGGTAGACTGAGGGGCAGTTACACTCCAGGGGGCAATCTGCATCCTCAGCCTGCAAGCCAGCGTGCCATTGTCGCCTGCGCAGGTGGGACAGCCACTGGATCTGGCTGTAGTGTTGGCCAATACCCAAATCCACTATTCCTATTGTGAGGAGGAGCACCAATGTCCACATGATCACTCTGAAAAACCCAGGAAAAATGGGGAGAAATTATGTAGTTGAAAAGGTAATAATAAGTCCTAACAACACTGATCATTGCAGAAATGATTGGCAACTAACACTGACTTACGCTGCTGTATTAACTTCAGACAGATCTCATTCTTTCTGCTCCACTTTTTAAATGTAAGGTAGGTGCAGTATACCTACCAGTTGGCCGATCTGAGACGATGCTTCCTCCCTTGCTCACGCTGCCTGTGTGTTTCTCAGAATAAGTGGAAAATATTGTTGGTATAGAGTAAATCCCCTCTCTCTGAGGCTGTAGCCCCTGTGGCCCCAGCCACTCTGTCTCATTAGTACACATACATTTTCCACTATCTGCACATCAACATATCACCTCCAGCTATGCAAATATCAATACCATGTGTGAACTAGTATGGACATCTGCTTTTTAACAGCCTTGTTTTCCTTTACTGCGTCACGCCTTATCATTAGTACAGCCATGCAGTCTGGCTTGATGTTTACTATTGTGGTGTGGTGGTCATGGAAAAATTGGGGTGGAGGTTATGGTATGGAATTGCACTATTGCTAGCCTTGATAATTAAATTAGTGCCATTATTTCTTGGAAATACTGGAAGAGTTAAGTATAATTTCAAGTACAGTTTTTAAATGGCAGTATGTTTTTGTCTAATATATACTATGCAGTATGTTTCAACAAAGTACGTCAAACCCTGTCATTTTTTTACTATCTTTGCCTACAAGCACTACTTATACCTATAATTTCAATTACAGTATTCAAGTGGTGAAGAAAGATAACGTGTTTTTGCTGGCATCTGCAGACAGAAGTGCATCATTATCAGCCAGCGGATAGATTTCAGAATAGGCCTTTCCATTCATGTCCTCCTCCAAATTGGATGCAGAGTTTCAGGGATTATGTGTGTGTGTGTCTTTCCCAGTCTTCTTTCTACGCCCCTCTGAGACAGTGAGAGACAATGTGCTGATTTAAGATGGAAGTGGTTCAAGACGTAACATACCTTAACCAAACTCTTAGATGAAAGATGAGGGAACCTGAGGATAACAGATGGGAAGCGTTCCAGGAAAGACTTGGAAGACTTTTTCCCTTTTTTCTGTAACAACAAGACGCTCTGTCCCTAAAGAACTCTAAACTATCAAACTAAGTAGCTACATTTTCTAAGACCCGATGATCAAATATCATTCTGCTAAATCAAGTAAAAATTGCTATGCTTCATCACAAACCACCTCCAAAGCAGAAATATTGGTGAAAGAAATTAAAATCTTTCCAGTAGAACCATGTCCGTGTGAAAACTTTGGCCTTGGCCAATAATTGTCACACAAAGTCCAGATTTCACTTTAATCTTCTTTATACAACCCAGATTTTCAGATAGTATGAGATAAACAGCTTTGTTTTTTCTCTGTGCACCTTTGAGTACACCACAAAGACAATTTGAATTAAAACAGGATTTGAATAAAAACCGAAGGTATTTGTGAACGTCGTGTTTTATCCAAAACATCTGACTCAATGTTAACCATGGCTTACACTCATGAATACGTCCCACCACACAATAAATGTTCAGCAGACCCATTCTCTGCTTCGTGACTTGACAACAACAGCTAAATATGATATTTCTTATTGTAAATGAATTTCAGTACTGAATACAAATAGTAGGAAGTAAGCATGCTTATTTGAAAATTTCTGAATAAGAATTCTTAAAAGAGTTAGAGGAAGAAAGAGTAGGCGAAGACCGCAGAACAGTGTTTTTAATTTTCAAGTACACATATGGACACACTAGTTTTTATACTGAGGGCAGCAAACTGTTGGATGTGGGGGAAGTTCATGTCATTAAGTTTAATCCTAACATAAAATGCTATGGTTCTAACATGAGCATGCTACCATTCCAAACAGTTTAGAGATGCAAGCTGGTTAGCCACCATAACAGTTTAGAGATGCAAGCTGGTTAGCCACCATAACAGTGATTTAACAAAATAGCTGTTTTGCTATTTTGTTAAATCTATTTTGTTAAATCATGACCAGTGGCGCTGTGGTTGGCATTGTTGCCTACAGCAAGATAATTCTAGGTCTGCCTGGCTGGGGCCTTTTGCACCCACAAACTCCAAACTCCACACATCTCCATAATAATAGTACAAACTCCAAAAATGTGTGTTAGGTTAATTAGTTATTCTAAATTAGCTGCTGTGTCTGTGTCTTGTGTTAGCCCTCCAATAGACTAATGACCTGTCCAGACATGTCCAGGATCCAGACACTCACAACCCTGAATTCAAATATTGAGAGAGGATGGATGGATGGGTCATGCAGCTTAGCTGAGCATGCATGAATTCCCGTTCATAGTCCCTTTCACTGAGTGAATATCTGCCAGTTCCTCCGATTGAGCTCTATCACAGACATGACATTTGCGTGAAATCACAAAGCTCATCTAGACTTTTCCGTCCCTGGATGTGTGAAGCCCAGAAAGCTTGCTAGCAAAGGTTCCACTCTACATCAGTGAAGTTCTGGTATTTCTCTGCAAGTTTAATCTTATAATGGTGATTAAAACAATCCTTAAACTAAGGTTTGCAAACCACTCAATCTCCTCTCCACAAACTACGAATAGGGCTTTACATCTGACTTTAATAAATAAATACTTGTAAGTGTTATGTCTAATTTAAAAACTCTTTTTTAATCTTTCAGGTGTTTCAGTTTCAATGTATTTACAGTAAAACTCCATTCACAGTGCTTATATAAATTCAAAAATAAATGTAAAAAATCTGCATTTGGCTTCAAAATGTAAACAAGTTTTTTTGTGATTTCCCACAAAACTGCAAAAATAAAACAGTAAACTATTCTCTGATAGGAAGTGTATCAAACTGGCTGAAAATTTGAACCTTATTTCTCAATGACATAACAAGGGTAATCAGAGGCAACCAACAGGCAGGAAGTGGCCCAGGGGCCATTCAGTGCTGTGTCTAATTTAAGTCCTACCTTCAATATAAAGAAAAAAGAAACAGAACATAGCATGGACTTCATGGACATCCTTAAGAAAAGCTGGGGCAGAGCAAATTTATAATTGCTTTGTCGTTTTATTGGCTCCAGTATTCGTTTTACTTTCTTTTTTTTATAATTTTAATGTGAAAAATCTTTTTGTAAAGAGCTAAATATAAGAAGTTCTGTATAGATATTAATGTTGTCTGAGGTTAATTGGGTTGGTACATTTGGCCAAATTAATGAGAACTAAAGCACTTTTTCTCTATATTATTTTTGTTAGTGCACAATATTTTTAAGTTGTCGTTTTTAATACTTTTTTTTAGTTACCCATGGTTTAATTCTTTTACAAGTTGGTTTACTTTAGTTTTTGTTAAATGCAATAACCTGGGGCGCAGGCATGTTTCCCACTGTGTTGCATTTCCTCTTCTTTTAACAACACTCTTAACAACGCTGTTGGGAAGTGAGGAAAGCAACTGCTGTAGTTTCAAAAACATTCTTTGCTTGATATAAGATTCAGCTGCTCAAGGGTTTAAGGCCTACTATGTTATATTACTCATTTCATCATGCACTGAGTGTTTTCAGTGAGTGAGAAGTCTGGGTTGCAGGCATGTAAGCTAAACACCTGGAGTCTTTTACAATGGAGCCATGCTGTTGTAGTGCGTGCAGAATGTGGTTTGGCATCGTGTTCCTGAAATAAGCACAGTCTTCGTTGAAAAATATGTCAGAATACCATCACAGATGTTTGCGTTTGAACTATCCAATATAACAATCATTCCCTCTCATCTTTATCCTGTATAGTGCTGTGTCCATGATTAAAAAAAATACAAAAAATCTAATTTTAATTGGTCAAACCACAGGACCGTTTTCTACTTTGCCTCATTCCATCATAAATGAGCTTGGGCCCAGAGAAGGCGCCAGCATTTCTGGATCTTGTTTATATATATTTTTCTTGCTTGGTACATATTTAACTTGCATTTGTGGATACTGCCACAAACTATATTTACAGGCAAGGCTTTTCAGAAGTTTATTGTGTCTGTTTTTAAGGCAGAGTTCTTTCTCCCGAGGGCCTGTAGATCACGTCCATTCACAACTGGGTTTTGGCCAGGCCATATTTTGTAACAAAGTTAGTTTAAAAAGTAAAGAATTCGTGGAATTCGCTAAGAGAAATGCTATTTTAAAATTGCCTAATTATTGGCCTTTCACAAAGCTGGGAAACCCTCCCATGTTGACATTTATAATGCTCAAAAACACTTTCTTCACTTTCTTCTCTGACTTGTTTCAATTAACCTAATTAGTTCCACAAGGTGTGACCTTTGAGTAATGTATTTACTGCACATTAGTGCAGTAAATACATTAACATTATGGGGGAAATCATTCACAAGTGGATACAATTACGAAAAATCATCCTTTGAATTTACTCAGAAGGTTTTTTTGTTTGTTAATATATAATTTGGTAACTGGGTATGTGGTACAATATTAAGTAATAC